TGCTAACGACCAGCTACTGTTTACCTGCTGCTGTTGTTTACTTGTTGATCAATAACAGCCAGTTGATGTTGTTGTTTCCAGGCTGCTGCTGCCCTCAGACTTCACTGAGTTCACCTACAGTCAGAACGGGTCCCTGATCAGATCCAGACCACCGGTCCAGGTAACACACGGTCTCTGGGTCACGTGACCACAGGGGTAAAGTTTCACGGTGTTTGTTTGTTTGTTTGTTTTAGTTCCATGAATACTAACTAATCATGTGCCTTTACATCCAGAGATTTGAGTTGTTTTTAAAAATATTTTTTAGCTCTGGATCGGTCTCGATGTAGAATTTAAAAAGATTTTGTGTTTACACTGTTTTACCCTTTTCCATTAAAAAACTAAAATTTAAAATTTTACAAATAAAACCCTCTAAAATGTTATTCTTTTAATAGAAACTCTAAATAACTCCCATATTCATCAGTGGTGTGAAGGTTAAACACATTTTAAACATTTTATATAAAATGAGTTTAAATGGAAATAAAAGTAAATGAAACGCGTGTGTGAAGGAACCCTGGATATAATGTCATGCGAGGCAGTTGTTTTTTTATTCCAACAAACAAACGGGTTCCTTCAGTAGAAAAGCTGCGATAACCTCAGAAGTTCTTAGTTTAGTCATAAAAAGTAAAAACCTCAAAGTGAAGCTGCAGATTGAGACGTCGCTCCGCTGAAGTTGTTCAGGTTGGTTTGTCCAGGGAGCAATGCATGCTGGGAGTTTTCTCAGCATCTGTTTCCTGCCTGCTGACCTGCGGCTCTTTGTTCGCAGGGTTCATCTGATGTTAATTAAATAATTCACAAGTGAAAGCTCCTCGTGCACAAACGCCATAAAACATGGAACACCAGCTGTGTTCGGGTTTGTTCTGGTTCTAGTTTGGAGTTTCATCCACCTCAGAATTTATGTTTTGAACTCAGTCGGGCCTAATGATCTGATCTGGATCTCATGGGGATAAAGGTAGAAAAAAACTCTGATGTTTCTGAGTGAAGACTGGAAAAGTTTCACGAGGTTTTGTCGAGCACAGATGCATGATGGGAGTCCACTGTTTGTCCTGATGTGTTTGAGGAACAGGGACATGAAAAAGAAGAGGAAGTGAATGATGTGCTGAGTCAAAGTTTCTCTGAAAACAGGAACTTTTTTTTTCCTGTGGGACTCATGCAGGAAGTGCTGATAAGTGCTTTTAATCAGGTCCCCAGAAGATGTGTTCACCTCTGACGTCAGGTCCTCTGAAACATGATCTTCATGGTTGCAGCTCCCCCTGCTGGTGTCACCTGGTACCATCTTTGTGTTTCAGAACCACTGTCACTACCAGGGCTTTGTTCAGGACATGGAGGACTCCTCAGTGGCCATGAGCATCTGCAACGGCCTGAGGTGAGACAAACACACACTCTACATCACTTCAGAGTGACAGACACACACCTTACATCACTTCAGAGTGACAGACACACACTTTACATAACGTAAGAGTGACAGACACACACTTTACATCACTTAAGAGTGACAAACACACACTTTACATCACTTCAGAGTGACAGACACACATTTTACATCACTTCAGAGTGACAGACACACATTTTACATCACTTCAGAGTGACAGACACACACTTACATCCCTTAAGAGTGACAAACACACACTTTACATTACTTCAGAGTGACAGACACACACTTTACATTACTTAAGAGTGACAGACACACACTTTACATCACTTAAGAGTGACAAACACACACTTTACATCACTTCAGAGTGACAGACACACACTTTACATCACTTCAGAATGACAAACGCACACTTTACATCACTTCATAGTGACAGACACACATTTTACATCACTTCAGAGTGACAGACACACACTTTACATCACTTCATAGTGACAGACACTCACTTTACATCACTTCAGAGTGACAGACACACACTTTACATCACTTCAGAGTGACAGACACACACTTTACATCGCTTGTTGTGGCTCTTCAGACTGATGAAGTCTTTTGGATAAAAGACGAAACAGTTCAACAAAAAGAAACCGTCCAGAGGCTCTTTCTTAACTTTGTTGGATTTGTCTACCTGGATTATTGAGCATGAACCTTTAAACTAATCAATTTGGTATAAACATGTTAAAATTGTTAGAAAACTTAACTAATTAAATAGGTATATAAAAAAAGTTAATTTCAGTCTTTAAATTAGATTCTACACTCAAACTCTAGAAAAATTAAACAGCAGCTGACGTCTGAGAAACTAAAAATAAAAATAAAAAAATCGTATTTCATTCTGAGACCACACACATTTTTTTTCATCAACATGCTTTTATTCTCCTACTTCAACATTTTTCTGTTATTAGTTGTCACACAACAAGATTATTGAAATCTCTGCAGAAGATTTCATCTGACTTTAAAGCTTCAGGTTTTCTTTGTTCAAAGACTGGATCATGACCTGATTAACACCCTACACCTGAGTGTAACCCTAACCCTGACCGATGATTCTTAGAGTCACTGCTGCCTTCAGGATCTTGTTCCCAGCATCTCGTCTTGTAAACTGAAGTGCTTTGGTCTGATTTTATTACACTCCAGCCTCTGATGAACCTTTTCTGTCCTCTTCTGTTCTCCAACCACTTGATGTTAATGATCTGACGATGTGGCAGATTGTGAGGGCTCACTCGCATAATGATTGTGTCTCTTTTTAATCAGAGGAGTGATGCATCTCACTCACGACAGCTACGGGATCGAGCCATTGGACTCCGCCTCCGAACAGCACCTGGTGTACCGCCTACAGGATGTGACCTCACAGCCTCGAGAGTGTGGAACGCCTCACTATGAGAACGACAACACTACAGAACACACCCGCTACGACGCAGGAGAAATCCACCATAGACCACACAGCAGGGTGTGTTGAAGTACACACACAGACGCACAAACATGTTTGTGGTGTTTCCAGTCACCTTGAACCTAAAATGACCAAAAACAGACAAAGGTGGCTCAAAGTGGATACAAAGTACATTCAAATGTCAATAAATGGCTGAACAGAAAAAAACAAGATGTAAAATAACCACAGTGTGTCGGTGTGAAGTATGTGTTTGTGTTTTCCAGATGAAGCGAGCCGTTCTTCATAAAACTCACTACGTGGAACTGCTGCTGGTGGTCGACAACGACAGGGTGAGACAGTTTGAGTCCACTGGAGTCCCAGTGTTTGTGCTAAGCTAGGCTAACAGTTTAGTCCCAGTGTTTGTGCTAAGCTAGGCTAATGGTGAAGTCCTAATACTTATCCTAAGCTAGGCTAATGTTTGTGTTTGTTCTGCAGTATAATTACATGAACAGGAATGAGACGGCAGTGAGGGAGGAGATGGTTCATCTGGCCAACTTTGTAGACAGTGTAAGTTCACACACACATGAACTTACAAACAACTTCTTGGCCTAGTTTCACAAAGCACCAAAAGCTTTCTCATTAAGCATATTATTTAAGTCTTGTTTTTTAATCATAGTGTAAAGTTGTTTTAGTTTTTAATCACAGAGCCGTGATGTAACCGTTGTTGTTCTGAAGTCCACTCTGAGCTGCTCAGGAGGCTGTAAGGTCTTTGTGCGTTTGTGTCGATGCATGGGAGCAGATCTACATGCAGCTGAATGTTCGGGTGGTTCTGGTCGGTCTGGAGATCTGGACTCAACAAAACCTGATCAACACAGATGGAGGAGCTGGAGAAGTGCTGAGTCGTTTCACTCAGTGGAGGGAGAAGGAGCTGGTTCCCCGCCGCCGGCATGACTCGGCACAGTTCATCTTGTCAGTACCTCCGCACTGAAACACAACCATGACTCAGCAATGAAGCACTGAAACACAAC